TCTTGAAATAGCATTGTAACACCACTTTCCAAATTTGAGACTGTGTGATATGAAAGAATGAAATCTCACCGCTTGGGAGGGCTTTGAAGAAGTTAACATCCTCAGGAAAGCCTAGTTTCTTTTAAAAGAGGTTGTGGATCTACTCGAATTTGTTGATCAGGGAGACATCTTCAGAGTATGCAATGGAAGGGTTTTGGAAATAGATAAAGGAGTTCAGGCTGATTTATACAGAACAAGAAAATATAGAGCTTCATGTGAATGTTGATGCAGTATACCAGAGTAGGAAATGTTTTTCCATAAACGGCAAACAGAAAATAATTTCAGTCTTGCAAGCCATAAGGTCTCTGTAGCAACTGTCTCAGCCTTGCTGTTATAGCATGAAAGCAGCCATAGAAAATACATAAATGATCAAGTGTGGCTGTTTTACAAGAAAACTTAAATTAAGTACTTAAATTTGAATTTCATAATATACCTATCATAAAATATAATTCATCTTTTGATTTCTTTTTTAAGAATTAAAAATGTAGAAGCCATTCTTAGCCTATAGGCCATACAGAAACAGACTATGGATGGGAATTGGCTTTTGGACTATAGTTTGCTAACTCCTGCAGTAGAGAATCCTTTGAAGAGAATATGTTGGGGAAGTGTAAGTTGGGGCTTATGCTTCCAGGCATTAACTCATAAAACCATATTAAAATGTTTCAAGGTTCTCTGTCTTTGAGGAAAACTGACATTGTTGGGTCTGATGGCTTCTTGACCTGGTTCATATGACCTGCAGTGATGTTGGTCTAAGCATACTCTCTCATCGGGATAGTGGCAACCCACAGGTGCTGGCCATTCCAGGAGCTGCAAACTCTGTACCAAATATGTCTGGAGGTAGAGGTGACTCCCAGATCATAAACAAGTAGATTAAACTGAAAAGATTGTGGAATGTTTCTTCCCAGGTGCTTTTCGAAAATATTCTGGTTTTACAGCATGATGATTTAAAATTTTAGTATCAGAAAAGCTTCTAAAACTTAAGCTGATCGAAATTAACAGGCCAGGTGCAGTTGTTCATGCCTGTAATCTCAGCACTTTGGGAGGTTGAGGCAGGAGGATTGCTTGAGCCCAGGGGGCTCGAGACCAGCTTGGGAAACATAGGTAGACCCCATCTCTACAAAAATTAAAAAATTAGCTGGGCGTGGTGGGGTACACCTGTGGTCCCAGCTGCTTGGAAGACTGAAGTGGTAGGATTGCCTGACCCTGAAAAGTTGAGGACGCAGTGAGCCATGATCATGCCACTGCACTCCAGCCTGTATTACAGAGCAAGACTCTGTCTCAAAAAAAAAAAAAAAAAATGAAAAAGAAATAACAAAATGTGAACTTGTAAAAGTAATATTTTAACAAGCTTAACAGGTACAGATTAGTGAAAATGCTATTTTAATTAACCTTAATATTACACCAAGGTGACACCATAATGTACATTTCAATTATAAATTATAAGAATGACCTTAGAAGTAGAAGCTTCATTTCAGGGCTTTTGACAGAAACTTATAGTGATACTAATTCTTACTACTGATAATTTACTCTGAGAAAATGATTACTGAAGACAAACATTGCTTAAACACTGCAAAGATTTTTCCTTCTGCAAGTGGGAAGGAATGACAGTGTGGCTCATGCATTAATAAATTTCAGTGTTGATTTTCTAATGCCAGTCTTAAAACTCAGTTAACTCTTAAAACTTGAACAAAGGTTTGGTTTGCACAAACATTTTTACTGATGTTTTAGCTCAATGAAAGGGGGAATCTTTGAGTTAGAAAGTGGCATAACCAGTCAGAATGACTATTATGGAAAAGTCAAAAAACAACAGATGCTGGCAAGAGAAAGGGAATGCTTATACGCTGTTGGTGGGAATGTAAATTAGTTCAGCTACCGTGGAAAGCGATATAGAGTTTTCTCAGAGAACTTAGAACTACCATTTGACACAGCAATCCCGTTACCGGGTATATATCCAAAAGAAAAATCATTCTGCCAAAATGACACATGTACTCATATGTTCATCAGAGCATAGTTCTCAATAGCATAGACGTGGAATCATCCTAGGTGCCCATCACCATCGGCAGTGGATTGGATAAAGAAAATGTGGTACATATAGACCATGGAATACTATGCAGCCATAAAAAAGAATGAAATTATGTCCTTTGCAGTAACATGGATACAGCTGGAAGCCTATTATCCTAAGCAAATCAATGTAAAAACAGAACACCAAATACCATACGTTCTCACTTATAAGTGGGATCTACACATTGAGTACTCGTGGACATAAAGGTGAGAACAATAGACACTGTGAACTACTACAAGGTGAGGGAAGGAGGGACTGATTTTATTAAGACTCAAAGACAGCAATATTTGAAATAATTTTTTAAAATTATTGGGATTTTGCTTGAAATAAATGGGACTATCTTCAAGTAGATTATATTTTTACTTAGTTTAATTGGTAAATTATAACTTTAGAGGTTACTTAGATATTTGAACCTTTACTTATAACTAGGAAATATAAATTGTACCAAAGAACATCATTATACTTTTAAATACAGTAATTACTTAAATTGAGAACTGAACATGAGGAATGGAAAGAGGAGGAATATGGGATTGTAAAGAGGAAATTGTGTCTTGCTTAGGGTATATGAGACCAACTGTAGATCTTTAACAGTATTCAGACATGATTGGCTAAGGAGCAATTTGTACTGAATTATCTCCCTTGATTATTTCCGTCAATGAGGGTGGTGGTGAAAGTGATCCATTTTCGCTTTCACTCCAGTGACAGGAGAATGTTGCCAGTCAGACACCAACTGTGTTAATTAGAGTATTAAAATAAAAACAAGCATGGATCCCATGCCAATGTCAGTCAGTATGTTCTACTCTTCTTTTTGTTTCAAGCCACAGACAAATTCCAGTTTGTTTTCCTGAAACTTCTTTCTTATATTTTGAACATTGCTTTCCCAGCATCTTTAGTAAAGATTTCAGTCCATGGGATGGGGGTCCTAGGTGAACTTGTTGGCAGTAGTCACTGAAGAAATTGACCCACAAGAGTGAAAAAGAAGCCAGGAAGAATAGCATTTAGAGAACTACTAGGGTTGTTAACGTTCTTTTCAAGTACTTTGTTATTTAACTAGGTAAAGCATTGATGTTGTGAATGATCTCTTCCTCATAAATGAGACAGTTTAAGAATATTCCTGTAATATTATTCCTAATAATGAGCAGGTATGCATTCTTGATTGTAAGAGAAACAGCAGCAATACATTGTTCTGAATTGCTCAGTGCTCTGCATTGCAGCTAGTGTGCAAGAAACAACCCTGTGAATGCCCATGGGAGCATGTGGCACATGGGGACATGATTAGTCATGTATAGGAGTAGAATAAGGTCTGAGAACCTCTGGTATATATAGAAGAAAGACCAGTCTGTCAAATTAATTTTTTAGTTTAATATTTGCCTTTAAACTTCAACCTGTCCTTTGATAGAGCAACTAGATAAACCAAATCAGTCACAATGTTTGAAAGCTGTTCTTCAGGCTGAAAGGAAAGTACAACTTCGCCTCTATATAAACACTAAGCTATTGAAATACATACATTGTCACAAAGCTAATGAAGTGGGTTAAGCAAGGACTAGATTATGGGCTCCAATAATAAAGTAGGGACAGAAGTAAGCAAAAAGAGACAGTATCAGTATCTGAAAGATGGCTTGAGGAGTTAAAAGATGTTCGGTTTACTATAATCGTATTAATATAATCAACATTGTCCTTCAGTAGTAGTTCTTGGTTATGGGAAAGTAATATTATAGCTGGGAATAGTAAAAATGGATGGCAGAGTACTTTCAATTTTGATTTGGAATGTATTTTGTATTTTTAGATGACTATGGTGAGTTTCATGTTTTGGTAGTTACTTCTGAAAACCTAGTAACAACCTGCCTCAGGTTACCCGACACTTCCCAAGCCCCTTCTGTTTCCTTAATTTTCCTCAGCTTGTGAGTAGAACTTTTTCTGTAGCTGAAGCATTTTTTTTTTTTTTTTTTGAGACAGAGTTTCGCTCTTGTTACCCAGCCTGGAGTGCCATGGCACGATCTCGGCTCACGCAACCTCCGCCTCCTGGATTCAGGCAATTCTCCTGCCTCAGCCTCCTGAGTAGCTGGGATTACAGGCACGCGCCACCATGCCCAGCTAATTTTTTGTATTTTTAGTAGAGACGGGGTTTCACCATGTTGACCAGGATGGTCTCGATCTCTTGACCTCGTGATCCACCCGCCTCGGCCTCCGAAAGTGCTGGGATTACAGGCGTGAGCCACCGCGCCCGGCCTAGCTGAAGCATTTTTAAATCTTCCTTGAAGTTGGAAAGATGATTGCCACATTGGGTTCAAGGGCTTCATGTAAAATAACAATATGATACAATAATATTAAAAAAGAGTGTGTATTAGAAACCATTAAAGTCTTTGAGACTCATATTTGTGAAAAACCTATAATGTGATTATTAAGTTCAGTTTTTAGTGCACAAACCACATAAGTTATCAAGGTGAACTGTGATCAGACTATAATTTATTTTAAGACACTTGGAAAACATTTAAAAGCTAAAGAAAGTAGGTACTTAAAATCTAATTTAAAAGGTAATATCCTCTCATTGTAAAATAAATGGAACATACAGAAAGTTGCAAGAATAAGATAAAAATCCCTCAGAGTTCTAAAGATCTACCATTTATTAAGTAATAGCCACTATTTAATATTTGTTGCATCTTGTTTCTTTTTTACTAATGCTTGAGTGTGTGTGTTTTTTTAAAAGTACCATTGAGATCTAGCAATTTTAACTGCTTTTCAATATCATACATTAGAACATTTTATAAATCATTAAATTTTAATTACAATATAATTTTTAATAGCTGTGTAGTATAGAAAGGAGTTTAAATGTGTATTCACTTTAACCAGAGTTTACTTTACTGAATTATTTATAGTTTTTTTAAATTTTTCTGCACAGGTTTTAGATACTTGCACAATGAGAATGAATCTAAATTTACCAGCCAGATATTTTTATGATTTGTATGGCAGAAAAATTGAAGATATTTCAAAAGGTAAGTGGCAAAGATTTTTGTAAACCATTTGATAATATTTTGAAAGACATTTATATCTTTTTTTACTTTAAACATTTAAAAGAAAAACATATAATAAAACATAGTTTAATTATAGCATGGATAAATATTCTTATACAAAGGGAAATCGTGAAAAGACGTTAAGATTTTAGGAATCTTTTATTTCAGCACAAGTTTGGAATGTTTAAAAAACTGATGGGTAGTTTAACCTTAGTAAACCATAATTAAATAAAAATAACTAATACATTTTATAATGTAACAACCAATTTAGAATAGAATACAGCTTTCCAAAGACAAATTTGAGAAATTGCATTACTGTATGATCAGATAGAGGTTTTAAAAATGTTTTGGTCAACTTCTAGAGCTTATTCAAAAGTTATGAAATGGTATACCACACTAGATGTAGTTGAGTTTGGAGCCACTAGGAAGAACTCTCTACTAAATGTATCTATCAGTGGTATGCTGATAAATGTTAACAATTGACTCTGAAAAAAAAGAAAAGCCCTGATTTGTAGCATTTAGTAACTGCATGGTGTAGGTACTCCTACCATGGCCAATCTTAGGCTACCACTGAATACCACTGAGTTCAGAGGGAAGGGTTTTAAGTCACTGAATAAAGAATTTGGAGAAGAGAGGAGAACAATTACATTTTGCAGACTAGTACAAGTTGGCTGTAGCACATCATTGTCCCTCAAAGTATATATATCTTGTTACAGAATTGACAGATTAGGAATTAATTTGACAATAGAAAAATTCACTCATTAGGTCCTTGCAATATTAACTCTACTACTACATAGTACTTATTCTGGACCAGGCACTGTTCTAAGCTCATCACAAATGTTAACTCATTTAGTTCTCAGAGAAACTAGAATTCCTATTTATTGCAGTAACTGAGGTACAGAGAAGTTAGGTAATTTATTGAACATCACACAACTAGCAAGTGGTGGAGTTGGGATTCAAAGTTTGGCAGGCTGGCTCCAGTAGCAGCACGTTTAACCATTGTACTCTATCCTCTCTCTCTTTCTGCTTCCCTCTCTCATTTCACGTCACTATCTCATCTATGTCAGAACTACATTTGTTTTCCTAGTACTTTACCTATAGGATGTAATTATTTTATTGCTTTGTTACTTTTTTTTGGTGTATGCACCATTCCTACCATACTACAGACTTCCTGGGAACAGGCACTCAATAAATGAATGTCAGATGACTCTCCCACATGATCTGTTTCTACCACAATGTAACATAAAAGAGGGCAAGAACAGAGACTATCTTTGTTGTAATACTGGTAATTAACACAGTGCCTGGGACATAGCTGATGCTCATAAATGTGGCGTGAATGAATTAAAGTGTCTACTTTTGGACATTTAGATGGTTCTGCTGTTATTTTTTTAATACACTGTTTTCTAAAATACTTTTCATAGCTACTATTAATTGTACCAGGCAATTTTAATAGCTACTATTAAAAGTAGTTCATCTTCAGGCAAGAAAAAAAAGTTATAAAATGTGCTTTAAAATAATTTCTTTAAAATAATTGTCTTTGTCAAAAGAGATTAGCCATATAATATCGTTAAAGTTACTTGTTTTGCTAATCTCTGAAAAGAAATACCACATTAGTGAGTTTAAATGTGTTATTGACATGGTTCTATCACTTCATCCAAACTTGAACTTCATGCTTGAGGAGGGCCAAGATATTAAATAATATGCCTTTAACTGCAAGGCTAGGTCCAGACAACTGAAGTGATTTTAGGATGTGGCTACAGCAGATACTTCAATTTATTTCCCATTTTCTGACTTGTACTATATAAAAGAAGACTATTGGCTGGGTGCGGTGGCCCACGCCTGTAATCCCAGCACTTTGGGAGGCCAAGGCAGGTGAATCACGGCGTCAGGTATCGCGACCATCCTGGCTAACATGGTGAAACCCCATCTCAACTAAAAATACAAAAAATTAGCCTGACGTGGTGGCGCACGCCTGTAGTCCCAGCTATTCAGGAGGCTGAGGCAGGGAAATCGCTTGAACCCAGGAGGGTCTCAAAAAAAAAAAGGCAGATTATTTCCTTGATTTGTCACCCTTAATTAATACTTACTGAATGTTAACTGTGATATTTTGATACTTGTTTCTAACTCAAATTTTTTTGGCCAAGGATTATATGTATGTGTATTCAGAAAGTAAATTGGTTTTCTTGGCCTTTTAAAAAAATATTTGTATTAGATATCATAACTATTTTTCATTTTATTATGTGTTTTTTTCTGAAGATTTCAAATCTCCTGTAGATACCTACCCATTATTTAGAAGTATTAGATAAGGTTATTTACCTACAAAACATGTAAGTCAAAGAATCCTTCCTTTGTTTTTGGGGGGTAATGAGTGTCATTATTAAAGTTGATTTCTTCCTTTCTTGCATTTTTGTCTCCTTTTCCATCACTCTGCCTAACATATTCTTTATGATCAACAATATTTTGAAATTACTCTTAAACTTACATTAATAAAAATAAACAACATATTTTCTTAAGACCCTATCTAGACTTGAATTATTTCCAGTTCACCTGTAATTAAAACATCAGCTTTGAATAAACTGCTAGAATTGAAACTCTAAGGAATTTTGGTTAAGATGAAAGATTTATAAATAAAAAAAAAGATGAAAGATTTATATTTAGAAAGTTGATTTTCCTCCGCCCAAATATGATATAACAGAATTACTTATCAAAACAGAAAAGCATTGATTCTGAGACGTGATACTTCATGGATGCCAGAGGCATTCGGATTCATGCCTCATGCTTCACATATCCCAGAAGTATGCTATTATCACATTTTAATGCATGCCTTGCCCTCTGTTTTTGCATCCTTATAAAAGCTTATGCCAGCTGAAATTAGCCTATGCAACCACTAACATGTGGAAGCATTACAAGTTCACTGGACTTAAAATATTTAAAGAAGCTAATCCTGTTGGAGGAACTTCCAGTCTGTAGCACCCTGGTCACTTAACATTAGGTTTTTGAACTTCTTTATTTCTTTATTTCTATGATGTTGTGCATCAAATGATTGAGGTCCCTAAACATTTGTGTTTGATGGTCTTCTAAACTTCAACTTGAGAAAGGTCAAGTTTTATGTGAAAGTTATCTTTTAATTTAAACAAATGAATGTGGATACTCTTTTGATTTGATGTATGACTTTTTTTTACTTGCTTTGTATCAGATCAGAAAAATATCTTTTAATAATGTCTAATGTTAAGATCATAGCAATTACTTTTTACTATAAGCACAGATTAGAAGTGTAATTGTACCAAAGCAACAGATACACAAAATAAAAATTTTCTCCTATGTATTGCTTCTTTTTCTGGAATTAGATATAATTTCAAATTTACCTTCTATGCTATGAGAAATAAGTGCATTTGACATAGTATTAAACTACTTTTACTTTGTCAAGTAAACCTTTGGAAAGACCAACAGATTGGCAAATTGCTTGTTTTTAGATTTTATTCTAAACCATAGATGATTTTTTTTTTCCTGAGACAAGGCTTTGCTCTATTGCCCAGGCTGTAGTGCAGTGGCACAACCATAGCTCATTGCATCCTTGAGCTCCCAAGCTCAAGCAATCCTCCCACTTCAGCCTCCCAAGTCGCTGGGATTACAGGTGCAGGCCACTGTGCCACTTAAAAAAAATTTTTTTTTAGTGATGGAGTCTCCCTCTGTTGCTCAGGCTGGTCTTGAACTTTTGGGTTTAATCAGTCCTCCTACCTTGGCCTCCCAAAGTGCTGGTATTATAGGCATGACCCACCAACCTGGCTTTTTTTTCTTTTTTTCCAGTAAATAGAGAGTTTAATTGATGTGAGGCCAGCCACATGGAAGGAGTCATTACTCCATTTAACCTCTACGCCTCCCAAAGTGCTGGGATTATAGGTGTGAGCCACCACACCCGGCTAGAAGATTTTAATAAAGAATTTTTTTTTGTTACATGTGAAAAAGCTATTTTGTTATGGTTCTTATATAGGTCTATCCTTTCTACAGTAGAAAAGAGTATACCTACTGTGTACAGATACCATATTCCTACAGATGGTCAACATTCTGGTACATAATACAGTTATTCCTTGGTGTCTGTGGGGAATTGGTTACTGGAAGCCTCCCCCATACTAACATTCACAGTTGCTCAAGTCTTTTATATAAAAAGGTATAGTATTTGTATATAGCCTATGCACATCATCCTCTATACTTTGAATAATCTCTAGTTTACTTATAATACCTCATACTGTGAAAATGTTACATAAATAGTTGTTACACTGTATTGTTTTTAAACTTGTATTATTTTTATTTTTTAAAAAATATTTTCCATTCATACTTGGTTGAATCCAGGGATGTGGAACCCAATAAGATGGAGGGCCAATTATATATATATATATATGCGTGTAAAAATACATTCTGCAAAATCATGCCCACCAAAATAACAGGATATGGGGAAACTAGGGCTGGGGAAAACCATTCAAAATCTATTAACCTTTAAAACCACAATACTATCTAAAATAATAATGGTTAACTTAGGAGATAATGTAAATAGCCTGGGTAGACATCTCAGAGCGCTGCTTTAGGAGGTATTAAAGCTGCATTTTGAGACAATGCAAATGGAAGTGAAGTGGAGATTTGGGTCAGTGGGGCTTCCTTTAAGGAAGGCACAGGAGGAAATGAAATTCCCACAATGAGAGAGTTGTATAGGGCCAACAGTGCATGTTTTTGGGGTGGTAAGTACATTAGCCAAGCTAAGAGACTTTTTTTTCATTCCTGATAAATGATAGAATTCTATTTCTACCCTTTTGGCTTCCTTTGTTTAGTACAAGGCACATATTCATTAACCATAGTTCTGTATCATTCTGACATCATTCTCCTATTTACTAATTATATATGAGCTATTTGATGTTATATAAACACTTCAAAGGGCAGACAGACATGGACAGGGTCTGATTTTGAGGGAGGTTTTAAATAACACACAA